GACAGACTAAATTGAAATGCTTTGATGGTTTTATGACTATGAGGAAATTAAAGGGAAATAATTGTTTATTACGCCCTGGGGGTGGGGAGGGGGGTTTGTTGTCTATGGCAAAAGGGGGACGCGGGTCGGTCGTTTTCTTCATGACGGAGTGGCTTTTTGCATAAATGTGGCTTTTCGAAGTTTTTAAGACGTTCCAGCTCTGCAATTTGATGATTTGAGGGTGGTGATGACGCAGGGAGGTGATCTGCAAAACTCTGAACCCAGGACACTGAAGGACGCCGTATGATAATATCGATCTTCTTCAAATGGTTTGCGGGTGGTGATGACGCAGGGAGGTGGTCTGCAAAACTCTGAACCGAAGGACAGCCGTATGATAATATCGATCTTCTTCAAATGGGTTGCCCATACGAGGGTGCAATATGGAAGAAATAGGGAAAAAGTTGATTGTAGGCCTTTCAAGAGTATTGTTTTATTTCTCCACTGGACATCTACAGCTTTCTAGTTGTTTGGTGTCTATGATTTAGTTAGATCAGTGGTTCTTAACCTTGGGTTACTCAGGTGTTTTTGAACTGCAACTCCCAGAAACCCCAGCCAGCACAGCTGGTACTGAAGGCTTCTGGGAGTTGCAGTCCAAAAAACACTTGAGTAAACCCAAGGTTAAGAACCACTGGTCTAGCTGATATGCCCCTTGATTGCACTGAAGCTCCCCTGAACACCAAGGCTGAGAAGCCCCGTCCTTAAGGGTTGCTTTTGATTGGGAAGGAATTCAACGGGTGCATCTTCCTTTTCCCCCCTTGAATCTTCACCGGTTGAATTTCCTCCTGTCCTGCCCCTGTCCCGAGGTCCTGGTCTTTCCCCCAAACAAGGCCATGGCCACTTTACATTCCTTCCCTTTTCTGGCCGTTGGGAGCACCGGGTTGGGGATAAAGGGTTTTTCTGTCCGGCAGTTCTCTTCCTTGAATTCTTGCATCTAAGAAGATGGATTTTGTGTCCTTTCGGAAAAATAATGTAGTGATAAGTCTCATGTTAAAGTGGCTGTATGGCTATGGTGTGGAAGGAAGAACGGCAGTGGGTGCAACTCATATACTGTATGGCTTTCTCAGATTCCTTTCGCTCCTTCTAAAATGATTTCTCCTGCCCAGCTCCTTACAAAGGCACACATTTGATCCCATGTTTTGCAACCGGACACAATCATCCCCAGCAGCGTGTTAAGTGAGACGTCTCCCTGAACTGAGCCAGAGGACGTATTATGGGTTTGTTCACATAAATAGTGGACAGCAACCTTCTCATTTTCTGCAGAAACACTTCTTTAGGCCATGAATGAGTTGGAGCCGGAAGAAACTCTGCCCTTGAAGCACATGGAGGAGTTAAAATCAAAGTAGGGAAACTGGGGGGGGGGAGAGAGAAGGTTTTGCACTCTCCCCAGTACTTTCCCTCTCCTGTTTTCTCTGCTTCTTGCACACACAAGAAGGCCCACTGAGCTTCCATTTTAAGCTTTTGCATGTAACATTTTCCTGGGGCTAGGATTATGAACAATAATAGGGCTCTTGTCATTTGCAGGAGCTGTGGAGGAGAAAGGAGAGGTTTCAATAGGTGCCCCTTTTCCCAAGCTGCACTTGACAATCGGCACCTGCTGAAATGCCCTCCTCCATTCTCCTACTTCCTGTAGCCAGAGGGTGTTGCTATGTGCACACATAGATAAAGGCAATGAGCCCATAAGGCTTGCTGGCAGCAGAGTGAGGGGTGGAATATTTATGTCTTTCTAGCAGAAGGAAAGCTTCCTTTGAGCTGGAAGGTGGAGGGACAAGGCTTGAAGGATTCGTAGGGCACCAGGGACAATGGAAAAGGCGCTCTTCAGTATTACCCTCAGTTCATTTCTGCCTTTGTCGGTTCCCTGTCTGAGCTGTCTTTTTACTTTCTTGCCTGACAAGCCTGCACAGGAAGCCCTGAAATTGGCATTTTTTCTCCTCCCTGGATGACCTCCGTTCTTCTCTCCCTGCATGACGATGCTCTTTGATGGCAAAGCTTCCTGCTGGAGTTCTTTTTAGAGATGCTGTCGCCCATGCTTAACTCTTCTTGCCCCCCCCCCAGCAGCCACAATGGAAAGGTCATAGATCTAAAAATAAAACCACTTTACGGAGATAGGAGGTGAGAAGGGAAGAGAAGGGTATGGGTACGAGATTATATCAAAAGCATTTATTATTAATAATAATGCAGGGAGTCATGGGAGAGAAATATGCTGATTGGTTGTTGTTTTTTTCTGAGTGCCTCCTTCCTTTCCCGTTCATCAAAAACTGATGCCTAAGAATCTCTCCAAATTTTAGATCTTGAAAAGAAACTCTTGAAGCCAGAGGTCATACTGACTCGTCACAGTGATTACATCAAAGCTTCTGGAAGGGTGCCTTGGGAAGAGTCCTGAGGCCCCCTTCCAGGACTTGAAGGATGCAGGAGCCAAGAGGACGGTCAAAACCGTATGGCGCTTTGTGGCATGTTCTCTGTCCTTGAAGGCAAGTTGCTGGCACCTGCAGTGCCTGTGCTAAGATCTGTTTTATACCAACCTGTGTGTTTGATTGAGAGTGGATGCTTCAATGCATGGGAGGAGCAGAGTCCCCTTGTTGGGCCGAAGGCAGCCTATAAATAAGACAAATAAACAAATAAAATCAACAGCACTAAAGGCATAAATATAAGCATGTAATTAATAGAAGCAGCCCCTTTGTAATGCCTTAGTGAGGAACCAACAAAGCCAGATGTCCTGCACGAATTAGGAGAATCTGTGTCTGCCAGATGGGTCAAACTACAGTTGATGTGATCCTAGTCATTCCTGCTGCTTTTGCATAGCAGACGTAGTCGTGAGCGCTCCAGGTTGTTTACCTGTGGTTTGTCAACCAGGTATTGTATCCTGTGCAAATTAGGTATCCGCCTGGAAAACCTCCCCATTTCCAGCCCATCCTTTAAATACTGTCATTGGACTGAAATCTTCCAACGCTTTTTCTCAACTCTGCTCTTACAGTTTTTCTCCAGACTGACGGAACGATTTGTATATGGCGTAGATGTTCTAGTCGATACCCTCTGGAGAATATGGGCAGACCTTCTGGATGTTCTTGGGATTGATGGTAGGTGTAGAGGACTAAGTTAACTTTCGCTTTCTCTCTCTGGTACATCAGAGCCTCTTCTTGAAGCCCAGGTTCTGAAACAATTAGTGACAGGGGTCTGCTCAATATGAAGGGATGGAATAAAACTGTTATATGCAGCTGTGAATATTAGATCAGAGATGCTAGCAGAAGAACCCCTGGTTCATTCAAGCATAAACAGAACACTGGCCAACAGTTGTTAAAAACACTGGGGTTGAGCAAAGAGACCAACAGCAGTTTAACCACAGTTTCCTTTAAGGCAGTTGGTGGTACATTCTTGCGTGCAGAGGCATTCAGAACTGCCCATATCTACAATGTCGGACCACCTCTGGCTGTCTCAATTTCTTAATCTTACGAGCCTTATCCACCTCATAACAAAACAAAACCTATTACAACAGGACAAGCAGATACCAAAAATCTCTTGCATTTGTTGAAGTTCCCAAGGGTAGCCCCACGTCATGCACATCGCCGTGGCCGGCTGAAGATTTAGTTGATGTTTGTAGGACTCCTCCTTGCATTCTCTCCCTCCCGCTCTCCCATGCTAGCAGCCCTTTCTCTGATGGGACGTTCCCCCTTAATTTCCAGGTTCCAACCTGAGCCATTATTTCAGCCCCGGATCTCTCGCCAACAACCCCACCCGTGCTCTTCTGCTGATGGGTGCCGTCTTGCTCGCCTATTGGTTTGTCTCTCTCCTCCTCGGGTTCTTCTTTTATCTCCTGCACGTCCTGTGCGGCCGCTTCTTCTGGATCGTGAGGGTTGCCCTCTTCGCTCTCTCGTGTGTCTACATCCTCCAGAAATATGAAGGGGAACCAGAACATGCGGTCCTTCCTCTGTGTTTCGTCGTGGCCGTCTATTTCATGACCGGCCCGGTGGGCTTCTACTGGAGGAGGAGCAGTCACAGCACCCTTGAGGAGAAGATTGATCATCTTGACAGCCAAATCAGACTGCTGAATATACGGCTTTCTAGGGTGATCGAAAACATGGACCGAGGCAGCGACCAGTGAAATGGAGGTTCCAGTTTCACCTTTGACACCAGCTCTCTAGGAAGTCACAAAGCACTGTCTAGTTAAGAAAAATTAGCAAAGCAACAAGCCGACACTGGGGTAAACAATGTGCAACATTACGCTGTTAAATGTTATGAATAGTAGTTTTATCTAGACAATACACTGAAAGAAAAAACAAAAGTTACTCTTGTAAGATAACATTCTCTAGCTGTATATTCAGAGATTTTTCTCCATGAGTACAGTTTTATCCGCTTACATTTTTCCAGGCATTTAAAACATCTTTTGTAAGTTTAAAAGAAAAAGTTTTTATAAAAGCCTATGGAGTAATCTATTTAAAATTACTGCAAATTCAACATAAGCTTTAGGCACGTTTGGCATTTGGAACGAAGAAAGCAAGAAGAAATTCTACCAAATGCCTCTGCAGAAAAATGTGATTTGTGTGGGGGCATCTGCTTCTCATTTTTATTTTTATTTTCACTTTTGGACCTTACTCTTTACTTTTTTTTCCCATTCCTTGGTGACTTAATTTCCATTGCCTCAAGTTGCCTTTTCCCATAGTTGGCAAAAAAGGCGATTCTCCTAGCGAGATGAGAAGAATTTATCCACCATGGTTTTTAATGGCCAAGAAGGACGTCTTTGTGACACTGTGTCCTTTAAAGACCCAAATATGTATTTCATCTGTGTGTTTTTCCCTCTTTAGGGTTGTCACATTAGAGACAAACAGCCATAACGAGAGTGCTGGTGAAGGCGTCCTAGTAAATGTGAAGACTCCCCCTTTCTCTTAATGTTTCCTCCCATTCGTTTCAGGGATGAAAGTAGCCCTATAGATCCACGCACAGAACAGGACATTCCCCTTCCACTGCAGAGAATGAGGTGGATTCACCTATGCAAGAGCACATTTGTGATAGGTCTCCTGCACGGGTGGATTCACCCATTCATGACAGTGGATTCTGAATCCATCCACCTGCCTGTGCAAGTAATGAAGCGGCCAAAGAAAGGAAATGAAAAGCATGACTCTGCTCTGTGGATCTCCCCACTTGCTGTTGCAGAGGTTAAGCAGAGGAAAAGAGGTGAGGTTTTAGCTTCAGTGATACCAGACATAGTTGGAAAGAGGACAGTAGCACACAGTAGGGAAAGGTGACTTGGACTTTGCAATAAAATAATGTATATATCTAATTACACATCACCTTCAAAGAAGAAGAGGGTGGGGAGCTCTCCAATTCCAGGGCCCTTACTGGCTCCATGGGGGGGGGGGCAGAAAGAAAGGCAGATAAAATAGCACTGCCAAAATTTTGGCTACTGAAATCTTTTTCAGGGCCAGTTGCCGGCAATAAATTAAGCAAAATTATAAACCATACTTCTGGGAAGATTCAGTGCTTTCTTTGGCTTTAAATTGACATTCCCTCCTCCCTCCCCCCCCAATTTGGGTCTCAGGGGAGAACAGTCCCCAGAAGAGAGGGAGAAACTGGGACCACCCACAATCGTGACCTATGATGAAATTTTGTTCTGTGAAAGATGCTCATAATATAGTGACCAGCCTGGGCATCGTTCTTTACGCAGAGACGCCCGTCTCTCGCTCAGAACCAAATCCTTCCCAACCCAAACCCTGTAAGACTTAATTGTTTAGAACAAGTCATGCCCTCTGGCATGCTTTCTCTTAAAGCTGCTGGGAGAATCGAAGGAAGCCGAGGAAAGTTGCTGGGAGCATAGAATTTCTTGTTCATGAAGGAGGCTGCAGGATTTGGCCAGGGTACCTTGCACTGAATTGATGATGATGCCAGAATTGCCATATTTGTTTTTAAAACTAGGTTGTGTTGGGTTTTTTTGGTTGCTGTTTATATTGACAATTGTTGGCATGCCAGATTTAAAAAACAAACAGTTGCCCAGTAGATTTTTTTAAAAAATCATGACAGCATTTGTGGAAAGCTGGGTTATTCTTTGCTGCCAATTTGTTTCAGAGTTACTATCATTGACGCGAAGCCGAACTGTTTCCTAGTAGGTTTACCGAAGACCGCATCCATTCTCTGTAATGAGATGTTCCAGCTATGGTCGGAAAGGTTAAGTCAAGCACTGGATTTATTTCGCTGTTGAGAAAAACACATGTGAAACCTTTATCCCTCTTGATCTTAATGAGTAAGAATGTATTTATTTTTATATATAAAATGTTTCACTGTATAAGATGATTGTTGAGAGAATATTGATGCCAAGATTTCATTTACAGCACTTGATCCGTTTGTGTAAAAATTGCCCCCCCCCATTTATGTGTGGTGTGTTTTTAAAATTAGACAGTAGCACAAAGTATTCTCCAATGTACTTGAAAAATGTTCTAACCGTGATTGCATGGTGCAGCTGTCATTCTTTAGAAGGTAAATTTGATATTGTGTTGAATTTTTCTCAATACCTATTGAACACAAACACTGCTTTTCCTATAGCTGGCTTCCCCGTCCTGTTTTTCGTAATCCCCTCCTACGGATAGTAATCGAATTTCCCTGTTTTTGTGCTGCTGCTATATTTGAATGTCTGTGGAGGCACTTTAGGCAGAAGAGGGCAACTTTATTGTTCTTTGACATGGATATGACAAGAGACATGCGGGGGAATGCAATGACAAGAGTGTCCTTACTGCTAGTCATGGACAAAGAAAGGTGTGACATCTGCCTCTTTTCCCTGTGGTTGTGCGATTTGCTTCACTATGTATCACTGCTGTTTGAACTGCTTGTGCTTCTGTTGGATTTGTATATAAGTTCAGTTATTTCTTCACAGTGTGGCCTTGTATTCATCTCATGGAGTTCATCACAGGTAAACCCATGTTAGTGAGCATCTCAGACAGCAAGATCGATTTTTATTAGATCATAACATAACATGCCTGATTTCTCATTGATAAATCGAAACATTTACTCCAGTTCCCTGGTGGAGTGAGCCTTCTTCTCCTTTCTGTTGTGGTAGTGCTTCATCCCTATCGGCAGTAACCTTGAATAATATTAATGAGGATTGTCCTTGGGACAGCCTTAGTAGTCTTGCTCTTGATTAACAAGGGTGGATTTTTAAAAAAAAACCACACAGTGGCTAAAGCAAACCATATAAGGTGGTGGATTAAAAAATGCCACACAGTGGCTAAAGCAAACCATATAAGAAAGAGAAGTTTTTGCATCTCAGAAAAGAGGAATTAAAGGAGGGGGGACGGATTTGAGCCTCTGTGCCTCCTGCCTGCAGGTGAAAGATTGACCCATTGTAAGTTTAACATTCTCAGCGTGAATGCCATTTATATACCTGGAGTAGAAAAAAATGACCATGCGTATCTATCCTTCGGTATTCATTTTTGATACGAGCCACTTTCCCTTCCGTAACAGCTGAGGGCTGTAGCTTGACAGAATACAAGGCCTGTCAGAACAGTGGTTCACAACTATTTAGCAACAGAATCCTGTCGAGAGGTTCCCCAGTGTCCTTTGTATCTAAAATCAAACTGCCATGCAGAGTCTTGCTGTAACCCATCAATGCAAATATAGTAGAAGCACCAAGTGTTGTATCAACCATGTTGATAAATAGATCAAGAGTTTCTGTATTCTGAATGTAATCCTTTTTGAAAAGTTATATTGGGTGTTCCAAGTACTGTACTGTATACCAAACCCTAATGCCCTGTTTGTCCTCCCACATATAATCTGCTTTTTAAATGCTTCTTTGCAAAAAAGAAATAAGGATAATATGGCCAGTTCTTAATTTCTGCTATAGCTTTTTCTTCTTAGTAAGGCTTTTTTTTTCCTGCAAGTGAACAGCCTTCCCCGTAAACTGTATTTGGCAGCTAATTATCTGTCTTGACCATTTGCTTTTATCTCTTCTTTTGGTAAACATGGAAGTTTTACTGTGTTCTACATGTGAATTTAAACTTCTAAGATGATTCCATTGAGCTATGATGCCAAGTGCCATGTTTAGAAATTTGTCTCTCTCTTTTTTTCTGTTGTAAAGCAGGGGGGATAAAACATACTGATCGTAACACTGATTATCTGCACTGAATATAGTGACTTCGTATCCTGTTTTGGACATCTGATCTGAAGTATTAGATAGTTTTTTAAAACACTGTATACCAAAATTGTGTGTTCTATTTAAAAAAAAAAGATTTTGGTCAGAAGCAAAAGTTGTATGTATCCTTTCAATCTACGATGTTAGGAAAATATTAGCTGGTGATAATGTTGAGTAGCCATGAATTCAGAGCTATTTTCTATTCATGCATTTATTTATTACCTGACCACCAAATCAATGTACTACTATTTAGTGGATTGTTTGTAGACTGATTTCACAACTAAACTATGGTGTTGTGGCCAATTAAAGCTTAAATGTTTACTGTAATTTTCCAGTCAAGTGCTTGGAAGTCATCTTTAACAGTTTAGGAACTTAGACAATGGAGTTTGTCACAAAGAATAACGTGGTGGACCAGCTTTGCCGAGAGAAAGTCTGTGTAAGAGCCACATCAGGTACACTATTTTATTTATTTGCACCCTCCCCCTCTTTCCCCTCCTTCAGCCACCAAAACGACACTCACATTGTAAGACATTCAACATGAAAATTAGGACAGGTGAAAAACATAAAAAGGCACCCCTATCTTAGCTGCCCAAGGCCTTTCCAAATGAAAAGGTCAGATTCTCAGGTTGGCAGATAGAAAGGGGACCAGCCTAGCCTTTCATAACGGGGAGTGCCAGAGCTTAAAAGCAAGCGGATGTCCCTCTGCCCCAACCCCATTTGCTGCCCCCTCTCTGGCTAGTGGGACGAGGAGGAAAGGCTGTTTCCGAAGTTCTTAAAATCCAAGCAGGGTCATACGAAGAAAAGACCTAAATGGCCTGGTCCCGGATCGTGTGCCGGGCCTTATGCAGCGTCACAAGTGTTCAGAATTGTGCCTAGAAATGGGAGCGGGTGGTGCCATGAAGCCGACGTCACAAGGGAGTCGTGCGTTCCCACAAGTTGATTTGAGAACCCGTGACTCGAAGGAATGCTGCGCCAAGCCCTTGCTTTTCGACAGCGGTGGGCGTGCAGAGCAGTGGACCGTGATCCCAAAGGGGATGTTTCTGAGCCATGGGTTGCTATGACCAAATCTGACGTTAATGGGAGTGAATTCACTTCTGGCCTCCCATCAAAAACTGGGCCTGCAGAGACTCGGGATCTCTTCTTTTCCTTCAGGTGCTACAAGAGCAAGACTCTTGTAAACCCCCATCCTCTGTTCTGTGTGGATGTGTACCATAAAAACTGTCCCCAGTCCTTTTCAGCCCAAGTTTTTTCTTGGCAGTGTCGCTGCTGTTATGTGCCTCCGGTAAATAAGGGATCTCCAAAATGTCTGGCCCTCAACCACTGTGCTCAGCCCTTGTAAACAGCAGCCCGTGGCTTCCTTTAGGGAGTCAGTGCATCGCGTATTGGGTCTTCCTCTTTTCCTGCTGCCTTCCACGTTTCCCACCATGAGGGTCTTTTCCAGAGAATCTCGCCTCCTCAGGATGGGCCCAAAGGAGGACAGTCTCAGCGCCATCATTTTTGCCTCCCGAGATAGTTCAGGATGAATTTGCTCTAGGACCCACTTGTTCATCTTTCTGCCCACCCAGGGTATCCACAAAGCTCTTCCGCACTGTATTTCAAACAAATCGATTTTCCCTCTCAAGTTTCCTTTGGTCTCCAGCTTTCACACCCATACACAGTGCAACACAACAAAGGTTGCCTGACACTTTAAAGTCATTGTGTGTGTTTTTAAATTGCTTGAGGGTAGGCCAAAGCTGGTACCGCATGCAGCATGCCATCTCGTGTTCAGTTTACAGGGCTGCAAGGTTCTAGTTCTCACACATTTTGGGGGGCTAAATGAAGTCCCTGTCTGACCTAGCATTAAGAGGGACCCACTCCATGGGACTGCTTTCAGAAATGCAAAAGAGGAGGTAGCAGAAGATTGGCACCCTGGGGCCAGCCCTGCCATTGGGCAGAATGAGGCAGTGGCCTCAGGCAGTAAATGCTGGTGGGTCCCCATCACCCACTCAGAGCTCTACCCCCTCCCAAGAGGAACTGGAAGGGGGGGAAAACTCCCCTTGCTGCTTCCACATGAACCTTGCTCACACTGATCCACATTTTTCTATTGCTGTACCTCCTTTCTTTCCAAATCTGGATTGTAAGCTCTCTGGGGCAGGGACCTGGCAGTTGCTAAAATTACTTCCGGCAATTTTAACCAAAGCTGGGGCGAGGTGCTTCTTTATAGCACAAAGATTTGGGTAGGACCCGATTCTGGGACTTGCAATGCCCCCAAAATAATTTGCATGGAGTCCCATGGTTTGGGGGGGGCGGGAAAGCAGCACGGAAGTGCAGTGAATTAAATAAATGCAAATGAAATAATTAAATGCAATCAACAGGTTTCGGCCTCCTTTGCAAAAGGATGCAAGCAAGCATCCTTTTGCAGGCTTCGAGAATACATTGATGCAAGCAAGCCTTAGGCTGCACAAGGTTTGAGGACTCCAATTCCCATGAGCCTGCCCCAGCCCAGCGAGCTGTGATGCATGATGGGAGTTGCAGTCCAGCCATCTCTGGAAGGCGACACCTTCCCGAGCCTTCACCTTAGTAGGGTCCTGCAATTCATCTAAAAATGGAAAAAAATAGATTTAAAAAATAAAACCCGCCACAAAATAAAATCCTGTTTGCTCCTGTAAAAAGAGGGCAAAACAAAACATCAGAAAGAGTTTTCTTTAGAATACAAATGCAAACGTAAGCGATAATACGTTCTTCTCTCCCCCTAGTCCTGCGGCATGCTGGGAGTCGTAGTCCAAGCCGGCTCCGCCCCCTTCCCAGAGCTCGGTTCCTTCCACTTTGGGGGGGGAAGAGGCACGGCCACGCCACGTGACTGCGGCGGCTGCTCTCGCGAGATCCGGCTGGAGAGGTGAGGCGGAAGTCCCGCTGGGAGGCGCCCTGGCTGCTGGGGGCTCCACGTGGGTGGCGGCTCTGGGCTACGAAGCGAGTCGTAGTCCAAGCCGGCTCCGCCCCCTTCCCAGAGCTCGGTTCCTTCCACTTTGGGGGGGGAAGAGGCACGGCCACGCCACGTGACTGCGGCGGCTGCTCTCGCGAGATCCGGCTGGAGAGGTGAGGCGGAAGTCCCGCTGGGAGGCGCCCTGGCTGCTGGGGGCTCCACGTGGGTGGCGGCTCTGGGCTACGAAGCGAAGCGATGGGGAGAGCGCGCAAGAGGCACAACTGGAGGGCCCGCGGGCCGGGGGGACCGGGGACGCCGGCGGATCCCCCGCCCCAGGAGGAGGTGCAGCTGGAGCTGGGCGGTGAGTGGGACCCCGGGCTCCAAGAAACGTTCCTTTTTTTGGACTACAGAAAGTAACGATCCCAAAAGCTGGCCCTTTTTGCTTGGTTCTAATTCCACTGTGTTTCGGGAGTAAAAGTCCTGATGGGGGTGTGTGTGGTCCCTTCCTTGGGCTTGTTGATCCCTCGGCTGCGTCTCTTGAGCTGTCAAGTCGAGTAGGGAGAAATCCTGCGCTTGGAAGGATCGTAGCAACAGCTCCGTCCAGCCCGCTCCACGGTTTCCAACAGCGGGGGCGCCTCGGGTCGTGGTTAGAGCGCTGGGGCGGCGAGGCTTGGGAGAGAGGCAGTTCCCCCCCCCAAAAAAAAAATTCATCGGGATACCTCCAGCCAGTCCTTCATCGCTCAGCCTTGAACCACCGGGCGGGGGAGTTGCTAGAATTAAGCAGGGAGGACTGTCAACGCCCCCCCCCCGAATTTGTGGGAGAAAAAGCATAACTTGAGTGTGGTGAGTATAATAGGTGCTCAGTGGTCAGTATGGGGAGAGGAAGCGAGTTAAAAGCATGGAGAGGAGATGAGGAGGGAAAGGCTAAGGTGTCTTCTGAGGAGTATGTGAAAGGGGTGAGGTGTCCCTTTTGACTCACTCTTCTCTCAAAGGAGCCCAACATAACACAGCCGTTGTGGTTTATCCAAATGCGAGGATGCAGGAAGCTATGAATAAGTTGGAAGTTTTAGTGGCGTGGAATTGTCACGGAGAGTGGAGTTCTGTCTAGTTAGCCTGGGAGTCAGTGCCGGTTTCTTCAATAATAATAATAATCTTAGATTTGCAGAGCTGGAAGAGACCCTATGGATTTTTCAAATCCATCCGCTGTCAAGGAGGCCCACTGGGGTATCAAACTCCTCACCTTAAAGTGCTGAGCTGTCTCAGCGGTTCATGGGACTTACTTTGGAGTAAACACATCCAGGGCAGGGATCAAAAGTAACCTCTCTCGCCGGCTCGGTGTTTTTCTTCTTCTTCTAGATGAAGCCCTCTTGAAAGGCACCGATGGGAGCAACGCGCTGGTCCTTCCGTCACGGAAAAACAAGGAGAAAACAGTAACTCGCGAACAGAGCTCGGCCAAGAAACCCCTGAGCAAGAAGCAGAAGAAAATCTTGCAGAAAGTTTTGGAGCAGAAAGCGAAAAAAGAAAAGGTGGGGTTTGGCGGTCGTGGGGGGGGGCAAAACAGAGGGTGGGAGAGAAAGCTAGCAAGCAAACCTGTTTAAGGGTTCTGAAATTTTATCTGTTCACCTTGGGTAATTTTTGCATTTGGGCTTCTCTCTGCATTCTTTATACCATTCATGATTGCACATACCTCTACCGGTGTCATCGTCTTGCCAGCCTTTATTCCGCAATTAAACAGCCCTTCCATCGTAGGGAAATTGCTCCAGTCCCTTCATTATCTGGGGTTTCCCTCTCTGTACCCCGAATGTGTGAACCCCCGCAGCATGATGAGAGTTTATGGGGAGTTTAGCCCAGAACACAGGGAAAGGTCAAGAGTTTTTCTCTCTATATGTCGCCCTGCTTGTTCCCAGCATGCAGTGCTTAGGGGAGAGGATGCTTCGTGTGTTTGACTGGATGAGCTGCCTGAATTCACATGGCTTCCTTTTTTTAAAAAAACCTTCTAGCGCGCTGAGTTGCTGCAAAAGCTGAGTGAAGTCCAGGCTTCGGAGGCGGAAATGAAGCTGCTTTACACCACTTCCCAGATCGGGATGGGAAAGCGGATGTACCAGGTGAAAAGGTAAGAAGGGAAGGGCTTGACCTCACCTAGGCTCCTGGTTCAAGTCCGTTCTGGATAGCTCAGTGGTTTAAGCAGAGGCTAGGAGTTTGATTCCCCAAGGGGCCTCCTTGAAAGTGGCTGGACTCGAGGATCTACAGGGTCCCTTCTTCTGAGATTGCTAAGTGATAGCAAAATGTGCGTGGAACAGATCTCAGATTGGTATCCCTTCCCCAAAAAAGAATGGAAGGAAGGGTGTAGAATTCAGCTTGGTGTTTTCATCAAAGCGGCATCCACGCTCGTTTCCAGTTCCAGATCTGTGTCCAGTTTGAGCCTTCGCCTTGTCATCCCCCCCCTGCTGGTTTGACCTTGAACCTGCCTGCTTTTTGTGTCTGATGCTCTAAAGCGCCTGAGAAGGCGGGTCGTGGCTACCATCTATCTGTTGACCTGTCAATCTGGCGTTGGTCTTTCAGGGCGGTCCAGGAAGTGAACGCCTCCCATGCGGAAAAAATCAGAAGCATTGGCGGCGCAAACAGGAAAAAATGTAGGCTGGAAATGGAAGAAGAAGCCGGGAATTCCGGAGAGGAGGAGGAAGAGGAAGAAGAGGAGGAGGACGAGCCAACGCCGGAAGAACAAATTGAAAAGGCGCCCCTGGAGGTCCCTAAAGCCAACATGCCGTCAAGTCCGGTGGCAAATACAGTTGCACTTCCACCCACTGCACCGAAGCAAAGCGAGCCAGCTTTTAAGCCACTGTCAGAGCCTGCGGTTTTTATTCCAGTGGATAGATCGGCTGAGATTCAGGTTGGTGTTGAATGCCAAATCTGTTGCCTTGCGGGGGGGGGGAACAGTAGGTCCTTCATGTTAGGCTTGTGATTCTCCTTTGTTGAAAGGCCTTTTATGCTGTTGGGGACGGGTGAACTACAACTCCCAGAATTCGGCAGGCAGCTTTCCGTCAAAAAACACCGTCTTTCCACCTCTGGTCTCTAATTACGATTAAGCTAAAATTGGTAAAGACACGTATGTTGACATTGTTGTTCATCCTCTGTTGAGGAGTACCGGTTGCAAGGGTGTTGAGATCTGGAACTCGAGGCGCTGTCCGGGAGGTGGTTGTTTGTAAATTGGGAGCTGAGGTGCCCCGTGGTAGGAAGGCGGTGGAATCTGGAGCGAAACCCAAAAGTATGGAGCTCTGAACAGGGATGATGAGTTTTCTCCTTCCCGACCCATCCCTGTTCTTGCATCGAAGCCTCCTCTGCTGTTTTGCATAGTGGGACTTCCTTTTGTATAAACATTGAGAGGATCGTACGGTATGTTTATGATCCCAGTAGAAATGCTTCCTGGGCAAGCAAGACCCGTTAGCCTTAGAAAAGACCCGCTTCTTAATCAGTGACATGGACCAGTTTGGCACCTTGCCGTTTAATGCTTTGGTTCCCATTGGTTCCCTTGTGGGTGGACGTTCGGTAGCCGTCTGACACCATCCCAGGGGGCTGGCTTCTTTATCCATGGAAGGCCTCTCTTACTTTTGAAAGGAAGCCAGGCTGAAACTTCCGATCCTCGCCGAGGAACAAGTCATCATGGAAGCCATTCACGACAATCCCGTGGTCATCGTATGTGGAGAAACCGGCAGTGGCAAAACCACGCAAGTGCCTCAGTTTCTCTACGAGGCAGGATATGCTAGGTGGGTCCAGCCTTCTTCTGTAGGGTGGGAGCAGGGGAAGAACAGCGAATTCGGACAAAATTTTAAAAACTTCCAGTTTTTAAAAACCAGGACTTTGGAGTGCTGAACCGTACGGGCCAGGCCTGCAATAGTTATGTTTTTTAAAAGGCATCATTTCAAGGGCGGTGGGTCATCTGTTTCACTAAGATACCTTTTAGTTTTTCTACCGATGGTTATATATATTTACCGTACCTTCTTTCAGAGGAGAATCGCTACCGCTAGGAACTTCCAGGAGGGTTGCTTCTCCTTTTGAGGAACCAAGGGGGTGGGGACAGTTTTGGGGGGGCCCCAAGAGCGAAATAACGGCTGCCCCCTGACTTATGAGAATCAATTCTACTCCCAGCTCCAGAGGCATCATCGGAATCACTGAACCCCGGCGCGTGGCGGCGGTGTCCATGTCTCAGCGCGTAGCGACGGAGATGAACTTGTCACAACAGTAAGCGCGCTTACCTGGACCCTTCCCGAGGCTTGCATATTGGATGCTTGGGTGGCCTTTGGAAGCATTACAGCATCCTTTTTCCTCTCCACTAAGGGTGGTTTCCTATCAGATCCGCTACGAAGGGAACGTGACAAGCGACACCAAGATCAAGTTCATGACGGACGGCGTGCTGTTGAAAGAAATCCAGAAGGTAAGGGGGGGATTCTCCTCCCCGCTGAGACACAAATGGAAACACACCGGCATCCGGAAGGAATGCTTCTCACTTAGGTCGCATCCTGTCATGTGTTAGTGGGAGCAGGAGACGGAACTTGGGAGAGAACTGAACGGGTCGATGAAGGCTGGATTACTTCTGCTGTCCCTTCTCGCCCCCCCCAGAAGAAAACACAGGTTGGGTTTTGCAAAGGGGGGGGAGAAACAACCGTGGCATGTCCATTAAGGGAAGCGTGCAGACTTGCTTTCTTCCGTGTGTATGTGTGTGAATGTCTCTATGAGAACACCCATTTCTTCCTCTCACATTATGTGACAACCTGTAATTTTTATCTGTGCTACCGCTCTTTACAAAACACAGAAGCAACTGTGGAACTACTTTTTCATCTTGCTTGCTTGTTATTAGTTTATCGCTAACCTTTTCTCAAGACTTTCTGCTGTTCCTCTTCCTTGCTGAGCAGCTGAGGTCTTGCAAGGACCCCTCGTTTTCCTACAGCAGCTGAGTTCTTGCAAAGTTCGTTCAGCTTTGCTTACAAGCCAGAGACCTTTGTTGAGGGCATGTCAGTCGGGGAACAAACTGAGCTCCAACTTGGTTAGGTCACCGTTGAGCCTGGAGCCCCCAAATCTCCGTTGATGAGTTTCCCTGGATTCTGACCACTTCCTTTTCTGTATCTTCAGGATTTCTTGCTGTCCAAGTACAGTGTCATCATCCTCGATGAAGCCCATGAAAGGAGCGTGTACACGGATATCCTCATCGGCCTTTTGTCTCGCATCGTACCGCTGCGGGCGAAAGTAAGAGAACACGGAAAGGTTCAGTTCTGCTCACGCTGTGTTACAAGGCGGTGTGAGCATCTTGTAACACCCAGGGAATGAGTTGGCTGGGCTTGGTCCCTACCAAGAAAAATTCTAACCGGTGTGTTCCCCTGTTTGCGTATTCCCAGAAAGGACACCCATTGAAGCTGATCATCATGTCGGCCACGCTCCGCGTGGAAGATTTCACAGCCAACGCCAGACTTTTCCGAACTCCTCCCCCTGTTATCCAGGTAAGGGCAGCAGCTGGACAACATCTGGAAGGCGTTGGGTTGTGTCAGCTGTTTTCCGGCTCTTTTCCCAGTTCAGGGGCCCAAGGGGGGGGTGAGCCTCAACCCCTACTTCTGTAGCAAAAGCATGGGGTGGCATCCAGGCACACACCTTCCCCGGTGAAGCCTGGCATCTACATACCAAAAGCAGCAGAGAAGGATAGGCAAGCTAGACGGTTGTTGTAGAGACAGCGATGCTCTCTGCACGTGCTTGAAGGGATTCTTGTTTCCCTATCTTGCATTTTTGTCACGGATCTGGGGTGTGTTACTAAGGACGGGCTGTCAAGCCGGTGGCTTGCCGCTCACCCATCTTGAAAAATCCTGAAAAGTCCCAGGAAGCTGGTCTCGAGGATATGTGAGCTCGCTGTGTGAGTCCTCTGGACCTCTTTCGTGGTCTTCCTCTGTAGGTGGCTGCCAGGCAATTTCCCGTGGCCGTTCATTTTAACAAGAGGACCCCTCTGGACGATTACGCTGGGGAATGTTTCCGGAAAGTTTGCAAAATTCACCGCATGCTACCCCCGGGTAAGTGCACGCTTCCCGTGAATCTCCCTCCCACCAGCTCTGCTGCCGTCTTGACATTTACAGGCTTTTCCTACCTTGCAGGTGGGATTCTGGTGTTTCTCACGGGGCAGGCTGAAGTACATTCGCTCTGCAGGAGGCTGAGGAAGGCTTTTCCATTCCACAGAAACGCATCCCAAGGTAACTCCGGGACCTTCGTCAGCTGCGTCGACGTTTCCTTTATGAAAGCGCTTGGCCATTTCAGACGGCCATTCTCAAATCTGGACCACCAAATGCTGTTAGATTTCAACTAGGGATGGCATTTTCATTATTCTCAGACTCCCAAACGCAGGCGTTCTTTCACATTTTATTTTTAACATCCGCAGGACTTAATAATAAAAAGGCTACTTGCTTTTTTCCCCCCAGGAGATGAAGACAAGGAGGATTCTGTCGAAGAAACCCGGAGATTTAAGAAATCTAGGCGGGGGAAGAATGTGGTAAGTGTGATGTCCCCATTAACGTCCCTCTCAAAGTTAATCAACTTTCAATACACATCCAGGAAATGCCCGCCAGGCAGAGGGTTGAAAAACCCAATGGATTTTCCTGCCTCTAAATTTCCCTCTTTTGTTTATGAAAATTCAGTGCTTTTGTTTTCTTCATGAGGACTACATGCTTATGCTGTTTGTTTGTTTTTAAAGCAAGCTAGAATCCAGGTTGGGAGAAAGTATCTTATGAAGTTCAGTGTGACTGGCATAGTTTGAATAGACTCTGATGGTCTTTTAGAATAGCCTTCCAGGTAAACCCCGCATCCGTTACCAATCCATCTGAACCACCTTGTGTGAAACTGTTGATCAGTGGCACAACTTTCTGATTTTCCGTAGGTCTCCAGAGATACTGCTCATTTTCAAGCATGTTGCAAAGTGGAGGAAAAACCCTTCTTTTCGTGTGCTTGATGGTGCTTTAACATTTCAAACCGAGAGAGTCACAACGGCAGCTATTTCCTTTCCCTTCTTAGGCGCTACCCAAAATTGACCTGGATAGTTACTCCGTGCTGCCGGTGGATGAAGGCGATGAGGACAGAGAGGCTGGAGCTGATGAGGATGAAGAAGAGGCCGACGCCGCAGGCTCCGATCTTGACCTGGATTTGGGGGACGGTGGGGCGGAAGAAGGTTGGTCTCTTAGAAATGCGCCCTACATTGGGGCAACACATGATCCTTAACGAGCAGAGCTTTTAAGCAAGCGAGAGGCAGCTCTGTAGCCTCTGGATGATTCCCATGAAGAGGCAAGCGGGGTGTAATCCTTGAAGGCGTCTACTGAGTACAACTGGGTAGTCAGCACAAGATTCTTGGTTCTTTTTGCTGTCTAAAAGGGGTTAGGACTGTAAATGACCCCTGTAATCCACAATGGTGCGTTCTGTTCTCTTCCCCGCCTTCTGTTCTCTGTTGGTGCTCCCAGCAAGAGTGGCCAGCGGAGCAACTGACGGCTATTTATGGACTTTACAGTTCTGTTTTCTTTTTCATCCCCTCTTTTTTTCTTCTTTTAACACAGAGGAGAAACAGGAGTCTTCCCTCCCACTCTACGTGCTCCCCCTTTACTCCTTGCTAGCGCCCGAAAAACAAGCCAAGGTAAAGATCCAACGCCTTGGGAAGGATGGGGCCCAGTGGATAATGTGACAGTTGAACACTTTAACCTCAAAAAAAAAAAGGCACCTTGTACGCTTTTATTACAGTAGATGTATCACAATTCAGTTTCAAGGTGCGGATTCTTTATACTAAGGATGGACAGATCTGAGGCTGTCAGGAAGAGCTTGGCTGTTTTTTTCCACTAGAATAACAGGATCCACTAGAACTCAAAATTTCTGGAATGAAACAGTAGCAGGCGAAGGCAGGCAGGCCATGGCTTTTCCTGACTGTTCAGTTTTCAGCCCCAAAGCTAGCATTCTCTCACAAGTCTCCTCTTGTTTTCCCCTTAAGCTTTCTTCATTTCCTTAGCCTAGTAGTTCTGAAGGCGAAAGAGATTTCTCTTTTCATGGTTACTCAACGCAGTGAGTTTGAAACACTTTGCCAATCTCCTGTAAATAACCCCGAGATCTTCCACTAAATCTCGGTGCACCCAGTCTGTCATCTCTGGCTTTAGGCCGTCATGAGCAGTGTGATCCACGTAATGTACTTTGGGAGGGGGGTGTTGAAAAGTATAAAGGAACCTTTCATTTACAGAAGTATGAGAAAGTCTTCCAAGGGGGAGACGCCTTGCGGGACTTCTGCAAAACCTACTGAACAGAGGCCTTGAGTACAGTATGTTCCTTGGGCACAGGTTGTCTTGCTTTTGAGTAGGCACAGAAAATAGGGGTAGGAAGTGGACTCTTCTGAAAAAAGGCATAACTGGTTGGAAGTCTGGACACAGCTCCCCGCGACTGCATTTCATTGCAGCGCTCCCCACTTTTAGGGAAGGGTCACTATCACCCTTGTTCCGTATGATGTGTTTTCTCCAGTGATCAAAACAAAAACGGTGCGTCTTGTCCCAGGTTTTCAGACCCTCACCTCCCGGGACAAGGCTGTGCGTCGTCGCGACCAACGTCGCCGAGACGTCGCTGACCATCCCCGGAGTCAAATACGTGGTCGACTGCGGGAAGGTCAAGAAACGGTTCTACGACAAAGTCACGGGAGTGTCTTCTTTCAAAGTCACGTGGACCTCTCAGGCCTCGGCCAACCAGCGAGCGGGCCGAGCCGGGCGGATGGAGCCCGGCCACTGTTACAGGTCAGCTCGTGTTCCTCCTCGGCTCAGCCGATAAGGATTTGGGAATATGTGTGTTTAAAACCACCTCCACCCCGGGAAAGCCCTCCGAGAGCTTTTCAGCGGTCCTCGGCCAGGCGATGCTACCTCTCTGTTAGAGCAGCCCTGTTTTCTTTCCTCCCAGGCTTTACTCTTCGGCCGTCTTCATGGACTTCGAGGAGTTCACCGCTCCGGAGATCACCCGGCGACCGGTGGAGGATTTAATTCTGCAAATGAAGGCTTTGAACATCGACAAGGTGGGAGTCTGTTGATCCTCATCTTCTTGGAACGGCATGGTGGGAAGGGATCATCGCGTCTAGCCTCTGGGCAAGGAGGCCCAGTGGGGGAATCGAGCCTAAACTCCCGAGCGATCCGGCATCTCCGAACCGCTTCCTCTTCTGTTTGTGTTTGCTTTTAATAACGTTGCAGCTGGGAGCCTCCGAATTCAATTCTTTACACGTAGGTCGGCGTGGAGGCAAAACCCTTCCTACCCAATGTCTTTAGGCAACGGCCCTCAAGAAGAATAATTTTAAATCCGTTGCCCTCGTATTAATCATCCCCATGTGCCTTCAAGTCAATTCGCGGTCCTCAAGAAGAATAATTTTAAATCCGTGCCCTCGTATTAATCATCTCCATGTGCCTTCAAGTCAGTTCTGATTTCTGATGACTCTTTTTCATGATTTTCCAGGTAGAGAATATTCAGAAATGCTTTACCCTTCCCTTCCTCTAGGGGGCACCCTGGGACTTGTGCAGCTGGCCCAAGGCTACCTAGGCTGACTCTTTTCCCAGAAAGCACAGTGGGGGGAATCGAACTCCCAACCTCGAGCTAATCCTGCCCTTCTAGACAGTGGGAAGTTACATAAAAAGCTTGGAAATTTTCCTTTTTAACCAAAAGCTCCAGGAATTCTGCCGCACACAGAGGGAGGGGGTTGAGGAAGTGTTGCCCTCTGCTTCTTTATGGACTACACTTCTCAGCATTCCTCGCTCTTTGTGGGGGCTGATGGGAACTGTAGGCCGGGAAGAAAAGCCAGCTACAGAGGGGGCCACCACTGCCCAGTCTTGCTCCAAGGCCTGACTGCAGTTGTGTGTTAGAACTTTGTTAACGCCCGTTGCGTGATGTGATCTCTGAACGGGAGCTGTAGATATACAGGCGTGGGGAGAAGAAGCAGAAGGTTGGCTTGTTCTGTACATTGGCTTAAAGCCTTACAAAAACACATGAGTATAGAAGCCCGTTGTTTTATTTCTGCAGAGAACAGATAATCCACTTGGCGCAGAAGGGGAATGACTCGTCCCTCATCATTGGAGGGTGTGATCCTATATTGACATTTACTTAGGAGAATGTGTCACTGCATTCGTAGGATTTACTTCAAAGCAGATAGAGACAAGCTTGGGGAAAATGTGTGGTTCAGGGTGTTTTGTGAATCTGACATTGGAGTCTTTCGTTATACCTCCCCCCCCCCTTGTTGGTTGTTTCTCCCTAAGAATCTTGAGACTGTTACCCCTTGGTACAGGGTTGAGAGGTTTGGGTGGGAGGACCCGATTCCTTCTGCAGATCCACCCGTTCTTGTTCAGCTTTGCCCCCTTCCTCTCCAAAGACAAAGAGGGAAAAGCCATTCGTTTAACTGATTTCACTCCCCCTCCCCAAAAATAGGTCAGCAAGATGTCTGTAACGTTACGAAGGCCAGACTGCTATGGCGGGAGACGTGGCTCGTTCAGTCCTGTTTTCTTTGCATTGCCTTTTATCCTTGTTATTATCTAACAAACGCGGAGCTGGGAGAGACCCTACGGATCATCCGGTCCAGCCCCTGTCAAGGGGGGGCCCTTGCACAGAAGTTGTCTTTTTCCTGGGGTTTAACCTGGGGTAAAAGTTTTGAAAAATCAGTTCTCCGACCTGTGGAAGCTCAGCCTTGCCTTGTCGATTGACGGAGCGAAAGTGGTTCCTCCCGCTGCATTCTGCAGTGGTTGAGATCACATGACTTCATTTCGGCTGGGGTTCTCTCCCCTTCCTTCAGGTGATCAACTTCCCGTTCCCGACCCCACCACCGACAGACGCCCTCGTCGCTGCAGAGGAGCTGCTGATTGCCCTTGGGGCCTTAAAAGAACCCCCAAAAGCTGGAAGGTAAGGACTCTCGATTCGCTAAACCACCGTTTGCTAAATCTCTGACTTCTTTTCCCCTACTCCTTCCTTCCCCCTCTGTTTTTTTTCTCCTCCGTTGCTAGTTTCTAAGAAGCGATGGATGGATTTCGGGGGAACCCTGTCCATAGATTTAAATAAATTTGGGGTAAGGTTTTAATCAGCTGATGGTTAATTGCTTAAAAAGCTTGCTGCGTGTGACTGCAACTTCAGTATACATGCTTTTTCATATATATGCAGAAAGAAGCATGGAAGTCACTGGAGTTTAACCTGCAGAATTTTTTAACAGTGCCTCCCCTACTGCAGCAATTATCCTGGGATTAAAATGGGGGGCAGTTGTTTACTTGTTTGTTTATCTATGTATTTGTTATTATTTTTCCCAAATGCTTTGGGCAGAATGACCGTCCTTCTGTTCTTCTCCTTCCAGGCTGAAGAAGCTGCAGGAGGCGAAGCTAAGCTGCCCCATCACCCCACTTGGGAGCACCATGGCATCTTTCCCGGTGTCTCCTCGTTACGCCAAGATGCTCGCCCTGAGCAAGCAGCACAACTGCCTGCCCTACATCATCGCCTTGGTGTCTGCCTTGACCGTCCGGGAGTTTTTCGAAGAGTTCAACCGGTGAGGAGCTGCCGTTCCTCAGAGAGCGAGAGAGAGTTCAGTCTTTGCTTCTTGAATCTATTTTCTTTTTCAGATATTTGTTTCCAATTATTTTGAATCAAATGCCTTTTGCAAAGTGTTGCCTCCTGCAGCCTCGTGATGCAATGGTTAAACTGCAGTACTGCACTTAAGACTCTGCTCAAGACGTGCGTTCCAATCCCGACAGGCTCAGGTGACCAGCTTGAGGTTGACTTAGCCTTTCATCTTTCCGAGGCTGGTAAACTGAGTCTCCAGCTTGCTGGGGGCAATGTATAGCCTGCGTAATTAAAAGTGAGAGTGCTTTAAATGTTGCGGGGCGGTATATAACCTGCACATTTTGCTTTTAATAAAAGGTCCAGGGTCTGCTCATGCCCTGATGGGATATCACTTTTCAAATGTGGCACAAGACCGAGAAGAGATGGATAGATTGGGTCCGTTTGCAGAATGGAATGTGTTGTTGTTGTTGTTGTTGTTGTGCTTTTCGTTTGGCTGCTCTTCCAAGGGGTAAACCAAAAGGTTTAACTTCCTTTGGTAGGAATCCACTAGCTGTGATTACTCCCGTAGGGAGTTACAGTTAACAACAGCACTTTTTGAACAAAGAAACACATCCACGGTAGGCGGGGCTTCCTCCCCTTGTCCTTTTTGGGATCACATGGCCCCTGGGCTCGCCCGATGTTAACCTGATCCCCTACGGCGATCCAAAGTCCTCTCCAGGCAAGTCGCCAGGCCCCTTAATATTGGCTCAACTGCTTTTTTTGTTTTGGCACATTGCAAGCAGAATGAAATGCTTACACATCACATCATGATATGAAAAGCTAAGCCCTCCTGAGTGTACTGGAACCGATCCACGACAAATTTTGCAGCCGTAGATGAATCGTTAAACCCGGAGGCTTTGTTTGAAAGGCTCGCAGCAACTTGAGTCGGTTGGGACTGTTTTCCAGAAGACAAGTTCTCCCTGAAAATGATCTCTATCAAGGATCCCACAGCATTCCGGCTCCTGTATGTTTGTTCCCTTTCACAGGCCTGCTGTTAGCGAGGAAGAACAAGAGGCGTTGAAAGGGAAAAGGGCGCGAGTCGCCCAAATGCAGCGGATCTGGGCCGGACAAGGGCCTTCCCAGAAGCTGGGGGACCTCATGGTGATGCTAGGTGGGCCCCTCTTCATTCCTTCGTCTCTGCGGCGTATATATTTTTAAACAAAGGAGGCTGGGATTCTCACGTGCTGCAAATCTCCCCGTCTCTTCCAGGAGCTGTGGGTGCCTGTGAATACGCCGGATGTACCCCTCGGTTCTGTGAGGCCAATGGCTTGCGCTACAAAGCCATGATGGAAATCAGGCGCTTGCGGGGCCAGCTCACCACCACAGGTACGGCGGGACAGCCGAGTCATGGTGGGGCTTGGGTTACTCCCCCAAAATGTCCCTTTGACCTGATTCCTCTGAACCACCGCTTTTGACCCCCGATATTACTGACTTTGGGGATGATAGGAGCTGTAGTCAGGACATTCAGAGGGCATTTTGTAGAGCTCGGGAAATGACCGTAAAAAACTTTTCCTTCACATGATTTGGTACGTAGCATTTTGAAAACCGTTGTTGTTTTTTTGTCGCGTCGTGCTTTTGAAACAATTTTTATACAGCTTATTATTTTTCTGTTCTAACATTTAAAAGGGCTTAGGCAATGTTATTTGTTCCACTCGTCTCATTCACTTTATTCCCTCGGTTAATTTATTTTTGCAGCGTAACTTAGGGGCACCCTTGTTACGAAAAAGAAAGAGAGAGAGAGAGGATAATTTGCTAGTGGCGACTTTTCCAGGGGCCGTATTCTGACCTCTGAAAGCTGCCAGAGGTTTCTCCTGATCTTGTACGTTGCTTTTTGTTGCTGGGTTTTTCCCTCCCACCAGTGAACGCCATTTGCGCCGACGCCAACCTCTTTGTCGATCCGAATATGAAGCCTCCCACAGAGACGCAGGTGACCTTCCTGAGGCAGATCGTCCTGGCCGGGCTGGGCGACCACGTTGCCCGAAGGATCCGAGCAGAGGAGCTTCTGGATGAGAAATGGAAGAACGGTTACAAGGTAGACGGGGGGGGTGGATTCTCCCAGCTCGGATTTTCCCCCCTGTCTTTCCTTTTAATTGTGTCACATTTTCTGCCAAAACGAATGTGGGAGGGTCTCTGGCACAAGGGCCTGAGATTAAAGTGTGTGGCTTTGGTACCACCAGATGTACAAAGCCAGGGTGGGCAGTCCAATCGTTTTTGTAAAATCTGCTTTTCTGTTTGTACTGGAAACCTATGGATGGTGAACTGGAGGCAGATGCAAAAGAGAGGGGAGGGTCTGTGTGCTAGGAAGCAAGCCCTGACTCATGCAGAGAAGCAACAAGAAGCCTCTTCTAGTGTATTATTCTCCAGGGCTTTGGCCTCAGAGCAATCACACGGTCCCTTTGGAGACACAGAGAATGAATATCCCCATGGGGCAAATGATGTTTGGCGGGAGCTAGAGATCTCACCAGCCTCTCATGTTTGAATTTCCTTCCTTCCCCACATTGTCGTCCTTCTGCCAGACGCCTCTCCTGGACGATCCGGTATTCATCCACCCCAGTTCGGTTCTCTTCAAGCAGCTCCCCGAGTTTGTTGTATATCAGGAGATTGTCGAAACCACCAAAATGTATATGAAAGGTAAAAAAAAAGATCTCCCTTTTTAAAAACGACATAGGGAAGCCATTGAAACCCTCAAGCACCCAAGAGCTTCAACAAAAAAGAAGGAAGTCTAAAACTCTACAAAGCCTAGCTCCCAGCATTGAAAAATACAACATGCAAAAAGCTTCAATGAACTCTACCCAGCCACGAGGACCAGTGATCACTGCACGCAAAACACTAGCTAATGACACCCATCAATCACAGTGATAGATCATCTCCCCCTTCCTATCACAACAAAACACCCATAATAAAAAAACACCCTGATCACCATAATCACCCAATCTCCTGAAAAGGACAACAAGCTGATCCCAACACCTACAAATACTCAACTATCCCACACACTACACCAAAACACAGACAGAGTTCTAATTCCTGCCCTCTGAAGATGCCCGTCTCAGAGACAGGCGAAACATTAGGAAGAAAAACCTCCAGAACACGGCCAAACAGCCCGAAAAAACTACAACCACCATCGGATCTTGGCTGTGAAAGCCTTCAAGAATACAGATGCCTTTATGTTTGTTTGTTTTTTGAGCCACATTTCCCTCCTGCCTTTTTTTTTTCATCACTTGTTCCTGTTCTCCCGAAGGTGTTTCGGAGGTTGAAGCCGAGTGGATCCCGCTCCTTTTGCCTCCGTACTGCCACTTCGGAAAACCGCTGGAGACGCCGCCTCCTTCTTACTGCCCTGAAACCGGTCGTGTTCGCTGCCACAGGCCAAGTGTCTTCTGTAAGTTTCTCAGGATCGTTTTCCTTTCTCCGGGAAGATGCCTTCCTTCACCGTTCATCTCTTCGTGTTTTCTCAGCCCAGCTGTGCTGCGTTGGTTAGGTACATGTCGTAAGACCACAGTATCGATGCCGGAAAACACTGAAATAGCGAAAGCTATATATTGCATGGTCTCTGGCTCCTAGACAGGCCAAGTGTCTTCTGTAAGTTTCTCAGGATCGTTTTCCTTTCTCCGGGAAGATGCCTTCCTTCACCGTTCATCTCTTCGTGTTTTCTCAGCCCAGCTGTGCTGCGTTGGTTAGGTACATGTCGTAAGACCACAGTATCGATGCCGGAAAACACTGAAATAGCGAAAGCTATATATTGCATGGTCTCTGGCTCCTAGTGGCGTGGCCTGCCATTTCATGGATGCCGGAAAACACTGATATAGCGAAAGCTATATATTGCATGGTCTGTGGCTCCTAGTGGCCGATTCTGGCAAATGCACCTTGGAAATACATATAAATACAGTGGTACCTCGACTTACGAACTTAATCCGTATTGGAACAGCGTTTGCATGTCGAAAAGTTCATAAGTCGAGGCAAACTTTTCCATAGGAATGCATTGAAGACCATTTAATCTGTACCTGCTGTTATCCGTTCATATGTCGAGGTGCTGTTCATAAGTAGAGGCATTAGTTCCCATAGGAACTACAGTAATGCAAAGCCGGTTAATCTGTACTCTACCACTGGGGGGTGAATTTTTTTTTCTTATTTTGACCTAAGATGAACTTAGGTCAAAAAAAGGGCAGGAAAGGGGGTTTTTTTCGGTTCGTAAGTCAAGGCTCCATTCACAAGATGAAGCAACTCTTTGTGAACGGAGCCGTTCGTAACTCGAATCATTTGCAAGTATGGACATTCGTAAGTTGAGGTTCCACTATATGTGTTTCTGGGGTTTTTTATTTAGAATTCTCTCTCTCTGTTTCTCTCTCTATATATATCTCTCTGCAGATCGAGTGGGCTGGGAGCTCCCAACCGTGGAGACGGATTACCCAGAAGGAGCCGAACGCTACAAATACTTTGCCAAGTTCTTGCTGGAAGGGAAGGTAGGCGTGTTTCTTTTTTCAGAAGGAAAACGAAGAGAAACGAGAGCTGAAGCACTGGATCGACTGAAGCTCATGCAATGGATTATCTCGAGATTCAATTAGGGGGGCTGCCCGACGGATCGATGCATGAACCCCCACCTCTCCTTCTCTTAGGTCATCAAAAAGTTGGCCGCCTACAGCCGCTGCTTGCTGTCCAGTCCAGTCACGATGCTGAAATCGTGGTCCAAGTAAGTCATTACATAATTATTGTGGATCATTATTTAGACAGGATGAAGTTTTCTTTGAGAAGTAGCCAGCAGTCTGCAACAGATTGGGAATTACATGGTCTCAAAGAGCAGTCCTGAGTTTTCAGGAATTGGGGGGAAATTCTTTTTAGGAAAGAGGAAAAGAAGACAGATCACCAGACAGATGGAACCGGAATGGAGTATTTTGAAGGAGGACATGGCTGGGCAAAATCTTGGATCAGAGCGAAAAGAAAGAAAACACTGCAAGAATTTGTTGCAGTTTGTCTCGATTTATGCACTCGGCTGATCATTTGTGTTGAAAATCCCTGCAGGCTCCAGCCGAGGACAGAATCCCTGCTCCAAGCCCTTGTCTCGGAAGAAGCAGACCACCGAGATGCTTTACTGGCTGCGTGGGAGAAGAACCCGAAATGTAAGCTTTTTCCCTTCTGTCTTTTTTGGCCATGCTGAGCTTGAACACAAATGCGCCATTTCCCTTAGAAGAACATTGCTGTGGCAGAGAGAACCCCAGTCTTTTAACCAAGCCAGTCTTCTTCATTGGGTTTGTTTCCTGAAATAACACCGCTTTGGTATGGTTTCTGAAAAGCTTCTTAAGAGCAGCTCTCGAGGAGATGAGCCACTTAGTGCACCCAAGAGACTTGACCCTCCATTGCACTGAATGGGGAAGCCATTGTGAGCAGAGATGGTTTTGCAGGCAGCTCTATGAAAATAAAAGTCTTGTGTTTTGGGACCCCGATGACGTTGGGGTGGTGTTCACCTTCTCAGCGGTGGGTGGGAGACATGGGACCCGACACACACACCGCAAGTTTTGTGCTCCTTACATGGACTGGCTCATAGCTCAGTAAAGCTTGCATCACGCGTAGATATCCTTTAAATTCAGCCACCAGTATCTCTAGATCACGTAATTTAAAAGGGAAAAGAGCAGTGGTGTTCAGGTAACCTCCAGTTGCATCCAGAGGTCTTGTTTCAGCCACGGGGCTGTCCCGGGGCTTGGAAAAAGCATTTCCTACTCTCAGAGCCTGCTTCCCTTACTCTAGAGTAACTCCGCCGAAGCGGAAGCAAAATTCTCTATCGCACACCTGCTTTTGAAACACCCCAGAGAGACTTTCAATGGAGTGTTCCCTCAGATCATACTGTCTGTTGGTTGCACATTTATTTATTTACAGGTTTTGTGTTATTATTGTTGTCGTTGATTCTTTTTTACTTACTGCCAGACTCCTGGAAGGCCAGGATGTAAATGTTTTCTCCAAATCCATTCCAAGTGTCATTGTTACCCCCCGGGGGCCAATTTAGTATGTAATGAAACATTCCATCAAATCACAATTCTCGGCCAGATTTCGCTTTTTTTAAAAAAAAAATTCCCCTCCCTTGATAACCAAACTCTTCTGTTTTCAGATCTGTTGACAGAGTATTGCCAGTGGATCCCCGAAGTCACGCACAAAGAGGTCTCGAAAATCTGGCCGCCTGTACAGTGAGGTCAGGAAAGGTCGGGCTGCGAAGATGCCTTCTGGAACCAGCGCCAGTTAAGGAAATGGAGAAATGCAGGAAACCTGGCTGACTTTGGAAGGAGAAAAACAGGCTCTGAGGAGCCGGCAGGATATGGTCCCTCCCAAGGACTCTCAGGCTGACTAGAGATCTTTCAGTTCCAGGCAACCACCAGACCTCATGCCCAGAAAGACAATTATACGTACAAAGGATTGTCTTCCATTGAATTGAATGGAGAGGCCATTATGAATGGGGGACTGCACTTTTCTTGCTTGCTGGCTAAAATAAAAACAAAGCGCTGGGCGATGATCCTATTAGATTTTGGCGAGTAAGTTTCGAGCATCGCCCCGACCCAAGCGAATACCTACTTTCCTTTTCTTTCTTTGGGTTTGTGGTTCTTTTTAAAGACGATGCCGGAGCACAGGCCGGATCAAATAAAAGAATTAAGCGAAGAAAGGGGAGCTGATCACTTTGATGTTCGTAAGAAAAGAGAGACTTTGCCCCCAGTGGGCTTTGATTGGCCTCTTGTCTGCCAAAGAGCACCTGAATAAATGAGAATAGAAGCCGGAGGTTTGGCCAAGGGAGTGCCGTTTCCGAATGCTGCGGGGAAATGGATGCCGTTTTGTACCACATGGATACGTGCCTATTTCAGAGTGTAGTGGAAAGGATCTGTATAATGAAGGCAAGACACGAGAGGTCTTGCAGACAATAGCTTTTGTACCCGGTTGTAATTTTAGAATTATTTTTGTCTGACCTCTGAAATGGCAGCTACAGCGCAGTCTTTCACATGTACATAGTTCTTTTTGCCATCCGTTCATATATGTATACTTTTTAATAACTGTTTTGCAGTTAATAAAGATATACTTTTAAATTACTGGTGTCTTCCCCCCCTCCCCCTCTGTTTATCGGTCTCTTCTCCATTCTGCTTTACAAAATAGAATGATTCCCATCAACGGCCAGTTTTCTTGTATTTTAAATCGAAATGGGAGGCACCTTCATATGCAGCTAGAGAAACAGCATCTTGGTTCCGACTTGTGCATGCACAAATATCCCTAGATTTCTTAATTTGTTTTGATTAATTATTATTATGTTCCTGGCCCTGCCCCAGAACAGAAGCACGCGAGGTGGGCCACCAGTATCAAAATTGTGTTTTGAGATGATGGATAGTTTTTGAGTGTTTCTCATTCCCCTCCTCTTTGTGCTTCAGAGGAATAGATCGGGGGGGCAGAAAATTCCCATTCCGATCAGCTTTAATGCCCGAGGATGATAATATAATAAAATCTTAGAATTGCAGAGCTGGAAAGGGACCGTGTGGATCAGGGAGTCCAGCCCCTGTCTAGGAGGCACCGTGGGGGGAATCAAATGTGCGACCTCTGGTTCCACAGCCAGAGAGCTAAACCACTGAGCTATCCAGCAGTTCATGGAAGATGCAACCCAACCACGTCGGGGGGGAGGACTCTTATTTCCCCTGCTTTATCAAACTACAGTGCAATTTTGGGGGAGTTCAAGAAAGGATTTCCTTCCATTTTGAAGGAACTCAACCCCGAGTGCTCCCTGGAAGGACAGATCCTGAAGCTGAGGCTCCAAGACTTTGGCCATCTCATGAGAAGAGAAGACTCCCTGGAAAAGACCCTGATTTTGGGAAAGTGTGAAGGCGAGAGGAGAAGGGGACGACCGAGGACGAGATGGTTGGACAGGGTCATCGAAGCGACCAACATGAATTTGACCCAACTCCGGGAGGCTGTGGAAGACAGGAGGGCCTGCCATGCTCTGGTCCATGGGGTCACAGAGTCGACTCAAAACAACTAAACAAGAAAGGATGCCAGGAGCTAAAAATGAAGACTTGTGCTAAATTGATGGAATGAATTGGATGAACATATTAGAGTCCAACAAGCCCCCAAGAACCACGAAGAAGCTCATGGCATCCATGAAGAAGCTTATGACATCTTGAAGCTGGCACAATCCTTGAAAAAATTCCACCAGGACACATTGGTTTTCAGGGGGCCTCAGCGCATGAAGATTCCTTTCAATTTTTGGAAAGTCAGAAGCTGGAAAGGAAAACAAGAAGTGGAGATGCCGGGGATTGAACCCGGGGCCTCATACATGCAAAGCATGCGCTCTACCACTGAGCTACATCCCCTGGATGGCTGCTGGGGCCGATCTGTGTGGTACAGACTCGAGACAGTATTGTGTCTGCCTTTTGCAGAGGGGCCCCAGTGTAAAATTTTAAAAAATGGATATTTTTATGGTCCTCGCCGTGTCCCTGTGCCGAATATATAAAATTCGGCACAGAGACCGAATTCTGCAAGGGTAAAATCTTTGCAAGCATGCATTGTTGGTAGATCCATGCTTGCAAAGATTTAGCCCTTGCAAAACTTGGCTTCTGTCCCTTTAAGTCTTCTTTATGCTTGCTTTATCAGAGCTGTTACAAAGGCATTGACGCAAGCACTTCCTCGTTAGTATAGTGGTAAGTATCCCCGCCTGTCACGCGGGAGACCGGGGTTCGATTCCCCGACGGGGAGGTTGTGAGTTATTTTATTTCTCCTTTTTCTTGCTTTTTCTTCTTTGGGACCACAGCTGCCGCGAATCGCCCCCTCAGTGCAGGATCATGCAAAAGAAGAAGGGGATGGATCATTTCCCCCCACCCCCCGCGGTGAGGGAAGACAGATTCTTGGAAGGCTCCAGCAGAAAGCCCGGGCGTGCACACATAACGCACCGATCGGGTGCTTTGGAAGCATCAGTACAGTATTTAAAAGGAAACATTCAATGCATGCGAAGAGAAAGCCGGTGGTGCAAGCAAGGGGGATCGACATCCATGCATGCATGCATGCATCCATCCATCGATCCATTCATTCATTCATTCATTCATTCATTCATTCATTCATTCATTCATTCATTCTGTTGAAGTTAAACTTTCCTTTGGAGAGATGTTTCTCTCTCCCCCCCTAAAAAGGGAAAGTGCAAAGCAATGTGAAATGCTTTGGTAAAGGAACAAATGGGCAATTATAAACGTGAGTTTCAGAAAGACTTTGCTGCCATTCGGCCCGGCTGATGTCATCAGCGAGTAGCGCTGTTCCAAGACTCTTTGCACGCGCCGCCGAAATAGCTCAGTTGGGAGAGCGTTAGACTGAAGATCTAAAGGTCCCTGGTTCGATCCCGGGTTTCGGCAGGTCGTTTTGCTACTTTTCTGTTCATTCATCTATATACGTATTCATTTTTTTCCTTGGTGGATCTTGGCCGGGTGAATGAATCTCAGGGGGAGGAAGAGTCCCAAAGGCGAACGGATGCGGTCCTCCTGTTCTTCTCATGTTGGACAGAATGCGACGCAGCAAGTTTCGAATGGGGAAGGCGGGGGGGACGTTTAAAAAGGGAAAGTGCAAAGCAATGTGAAATGCTTTGGTAAAGGAACAAATGGGCAATTATGAACGTGAGTTTCCGAAAGACTTTGCTGACATTCGGCCCGGCTGATGTCATCAGCGAGTAGCGCTGTTCCAAGACTCTTTGCACGCGCCGCCGAAATAGCTCAGTTGGGAGAGCGTTAGACTGAAGATCTAAAGGTCCCTGGTTCGATCCCGGGTTTCGGCAGGTCGTTTTGCTACTTTTCTGTTCATTCATCTATATACGTATTCATTTTTTTCCTTGGTGGATCTTGGCCGGGTGAATGAATCTCAGGGGGAGGAAGAGTCCCAAAGGCGAACGGATGCGGTCCTCCTGTTCTTCTCATGTTGGACAGAATGCGACCCAGCAAGTTTCGAATGGGGAAGGCGGGGGGGACGTTGTTTGAGTTGTCTGAACACCCTGACGCGTGTCAGTCTTTGCAGAACGCCTGGATCCAGGGATGGGCTTGTAGCTGAGCTTTCCAGAAACCACAGGGAAGGGCCCCACTCCCTGGATCAGGCCAGATCTCTCGCTTTAGGACCTTTAACCTTAAATACCGCCTGTTCGTCTGAATGGGTGATCATAATTGGGCTGTTGATCTCGCGATTGATTATAAACCCGCATCCGCATCGGTTTCTCGGCCACGACTTCCCCGTTGACCACCCTTGAGCCATTTCTTCCTTATTAGTGCCAAGTGACGTTTTTTTCAGCTTTCGCCAAAGCATTTCCTCGTTAGTATAGTGGTAAGTATCCCCGCCTGTCACGCGGGAGACCGGGGTTCGATTCCCCGACGGGGAGGCTTGATTTATTTTTATTTTATTTTTTCTGTTTTCCCTATTTAACTGCCCCCCTCCCCCAGAATGCGAAGGAGGGGAAGACAAAAAATTAGAAATCCTGTACAGGATTTCCTTGCCACGCGCCCAAACGAGGCTTTGGCATAGCATGCTTTTTGGGGGTCCTGCTTTTTTGCAAAGCCGTGCAAACCAGCACAAATCAGGGGTTTGCGTCTTTTCGTCTCTTCCGGGGTTTCCTTCCCCACTTCCTTTTATTCATTCATTTATTTATTGGTCCGTCACGCTCTCATTATTGCACAAAAGCCAGGCTTGTCCTTTCCTTGCAATATCATGTGTTCCAGAAAGGACAACCTACGGCCAGGGGATGTAGCTCAGTGGTAGAGCGCATGCTTTGCATGTATGAGGCCCCGGGTTCAATCCCCGGCATCTCCACTTCTTTTTGAGTTTTGTTTTTTTTACTATCATTTTATCTCTGTTGTCAAAGTCGAACGTGGTTTCCACCATGGCAGTATATCTACTAAATAAAATGTGCGCTGATCCGCTGCCATCATAAATGCCGTGTAGAGGAAAAAGGGCGCCCAAGAAAGCATGGAATTTCCCGCTAGGAATTTCCAATAAGGAAAAAGCTTTAAATTCCCCTGATATTTTTCTTT